AAGAAACCAATGTACCTCTTCGCCCATATACAACCAATACATGTGGCTAACACTAACAAGGTAAGCATATCCACACACTTGGACTCTTGGAATCAACAAGAAACTTGAAAATTCATCGAAATAATTTCTATGCCGCTGAATCTTTCTCAGGACATGGGCAATAGAATATTCATTCTTGAAGGCATAACTAAGCATTCAGTGAACGTGCAATTTCTGACCACAATGAGTCGAACACGTGGACTCAATGTATGTCAGCCTTCTTACGACACTTTTTGAAAAGCACTCGGGAACAAGTATCTTCCTCACCCTCGTTCCACCCCACGCCATGAAAGCGGATTTCGATGTTTATTGCGTGAAATCCTATCTATTTTTTGCACATGTGACTAGTTTTCTTTTTTATTTTAATTTTTACTATGAACGAAATATAAGGATTTACTCTTGCTCGGCTTTTTTTATTTGTATATGGTTTCGATAAGGCAAGGTTGATTGGTTTGTCTGAGCCATTCTTTTATGCTTTTGAAAGGCTAACAATAAAATATTACAATTAATATGTAGTAATAATGGTGGTATGTATAGGGTTGTAAACGAGCCGAGCCGAGCTCAAACTCTTAATGAGCCGAGCCGAGCTCGTCTCGTTAAATAAACGAGCCAAAAATCGAGCTCGAGTTCGGCTCGTTAAGGCCTCGAGCTCGAGCCTTAACGAGTCGAACTATAAACAATTTTATAAAAATTCCCTTTACGAGCCTTAACAAGCCTTATCGAGCCGTGAGCTTGGCTCGTTAACTAAATAAGCTTTAATAAGTCAAGATCAGCTCGTTAAGGCCTCGAACTCGTACCGAACTCGAGCCTTAACGAGTCGATCTGAGCCAGACTCGTTTAATTTAACAGCACTGGGTATGTATACATCAACAACTAATGTAGGTACATGTCATTTGTCTAATTTTTTTACATGAAAATTCAAACAATCAATGCGGTGTAAACTATGTGAACAATATGCGAAACATTTTCTTAGGATATGCAATTCGTGATATGGATCTAGAAAAAATGACAGCTAGTGGTAAACTACGCAGTATTCCATTTGAATATGCGAACATGTTGCGCATAATCGTTAATTATACGGGTTGTCGA